GAGGTCTATAGCCTCTTGTGAATGGATGGGTTCCAGACATTCACAAACAGCTCCAGCTGCCAATCAATCGCGATTTGACTCCTCACATTCCCTTGTTTTCTTCCCCGTTCCCCCGCGCTCTCACTGATTTGACAGCCCTGAGCCTCTTGAGTACGGCCGGAGTCCGCTGTCAATCAATCACAGTTCAACTCCCCCCCCATCTCAATCCCGGAGCCGTGCAAGTGAGGTTGACACAGTAGCGTCCAGTGTGGCACTTTATCCGGATTAACCGGATTTTTGCCCAAATTAACCAGTTTATTTAAAATAGATAAGGATGCAAATGAATCAGGGTGTTTGGTCCAGGGGATAACTGGTGCCCAGTTTAAGTGGTTTCCACTGAAATATAGATTCTTTTTTTTTGCCCAATATATAACAATCCTTGCATTATATACAGGGCCTTATCACATCATTGAGATGCCTCAAAGTGCTTCACAGGATATACTGTGAATATATGTTACTTTATGCTAAGGATATGCATAACACAAGAATCTCACTTGTCTTTTCTACCTGCAATCCCACGTTTATAGACCCATAAATATCTCCAGTACTCACCTCACCATCAATTTAGAATTATGTCATTTAGGGTTTGTTCTTTCACTTAAAATGTACTACATTGGTTCACATTTCTCAACATTAGACTGTATATGACATCTATCTGTCCATTGTGCTATTTCATCTACGTCCATCTGCAGTTTCAGACATTCTTCCTTGTGGCCCAGAATTTAGTTTAATCAATAGTTTAGAAATTGTTCCAAATATTTCATGTCGATTGGTAACTTTTTTTTTCGGTCAGCCGGGTATCTGACACATGCAGAAACTCATCACCATGCTCAAGAGTATCCAAATCAAACTGATATTTCCATGCTTCCCACCTACACGTGGACATCCCAGAGGTAGGTTGTCGGAATGGAACTCGTGCTCTCTCCCTGGAGGGACGCGTTCCTGCTTACCTAATTCCAGAAAGTATTAGGCGCAGGTTGGCAAGAGTCCAGGCTTGGGGACCCCAGAGTGTGTGTTGGGTTCTGCTAGAGTCTAATCAGCTAAAAAACGCATAACTTACCATTTAAAGCACTGTCTGGAATACTTTCCAACTGTTTGTCCAGCTAGGACACCCTATCCATTAGGGCTTTGGCTTGTAGGTTTAACAGGAGCCGAGTGGGATGACTCCCTGCCCCCAGTGACCGGTCTGCCCTTCCAGGTCCTGCTGATGAGCCAGGCTGGGCTGTGCTATCATTAGCAGTGCCCTGGTATACTGCGGACCCACCCGGCTCAGGAGCTGGACTATCGAGATCGCCGCAGATGGCTGGGTCGATTCTGACATTCCATTGCCAAGCATGTCACTTTGGAGCCAGTTCTGCTCCAAGAAGACCCACTTAGCTGCCCCCACTCCCCACCCCCAGGAGGATGGGGAACAGCAAAAGTCCCAGGTCTCCCTTCAATTAACTACAGCTTTGTCATCCATGCAAAATGCCTTACGTATTCACACAAAGCAAATCAGACCAGCCTGAGTCACTCTGCAAAGAGGGAGCATAGTCAATGGCTGGTTACAGCCTGACCACATTAACTTAACATTGAGTGATTAGAACGAGGGGGGGAGGGGGGTGGGAGTGGGGAGAGAATTCTGGAATCTCCTGTCCATACATGACGCTACACAGTGAATCCGGTGACTGAAACCTGCCCACAAATAAATTAGCTCCAGGGTCTGATTCAAATGAGGTGCTAATAGCGAAAAGCTCTGTTTACATCCAACAGTTCACTGAATGCTTTGCCACATCAGGGTGTTTGAAAACTCAACTAAGCTTGAACTGCTTCTGCAACTGCAATATCTATTTCAATAGTTATTCAATAAGTTCAAGACACCGTCCGGTGGGAAAAGGCACAAATTAATGCAAGTTGTTTTTGTAAATGGGCACAGTGTGCCTTGTGTGCTTCTGGTGGGATGTCCAGTGGTACACTTTTATTTAGGTTTAATCATCCTCTTATAAGCTGCACATTTTTTTTATTTTGATGCACAGATCTTCAGAACGCAACAAATTGCATAGGAGGCGCTTAAAATTGTCTTGCCCCTTTTTTTTCAAAGCATCTCAGATCCATCCAGTGGAATTAGTTTGCCTACAGCACAAATCCCTCTGTTCAAGCAATTGTAACAGGAAAGTTAGGGTGGCCTCCAAGGGGCAAAGGTGACATTAATAGTCAAGTGTTCCATTTAGTTGATGGCTCTCTACACATTCCTTTACTTTTGACCTCAAGGGACTTCCTGTAATGTCCTAAATAGAAGAACAAGAACGCAGATCTGCAATACATTCCTCCACAATGCCATTACTTCACAAAAGATCTTTTAATTTCTATTTCTTGATCTCTTCCTCATATCCCTCAATTGTCACGTGCCCGATTCTCTGTCCATCTGCTTTGCAAACATCCCAATCCATTCTGCGTCCACAGCCCCATCCAGGCATTTTCACAACCGTTCAGGTGACGTTGTGCCAGACCGTAGAGCACAGGAGAGTTCGGGCAGCACAGATCAATATAAACCTGGTTTCAGTAAGTGTTTGACTTAGCTGCGATGAGCGTAATATTGGGCAGCAAAGGACAAGCAGCTCCAACAATCCAGTACTATGTTTGAATTTTGCAAAGTAGACCACAGTAATAATGAGGTTTAACAGCCATGGATTGAGTGACCAACTTTATTCGGGGGATTGTTGGCCAGGACACCGAGAGAAACTCCCTTTCCTTTTTCCAATAACGCCATGGGATCTTTAATGTCCTGAACCGGTAGGTGGGACCTGGGTTTCACAACTCATGGAAGGACGGCACCTCCAACCATGCAGGACTACAGTGCAACGTCATCTTAGGCAGGAATAAGAGAAATTGTGACATTATTTCCTAATGTTCGGTAGTTCCTATCGAACTTATATTTTCATGCCCTCGACAGAATATAATCTTCACTGATCTCCATTTACCGCACCTGAGATTTCCTCCTTGCAGATCCAGATCAAAGGCTAAACTGTCCATCAAACCCATCAGTGATACGGTAAAGTTTGTTGGGGTGACTGAGAACACTGTACCCTGACACCACATTCCAGCTTTGCGTCATTAAAATAAAACGTTTAAAGCAAATGAAACATATTCCCACACATTTTTGGAATGCAGAGTGGACACCACTCACACACAAAGACACACACACACTTACACAGACACTCACATTTCCAAATAATAAGCAATATTCTCCCCCCAAATCAGTTCTTCTGAGACTCGTCCACAAAGCAGACACAGGAGGAAAAAAAACTATTATTTCTCAGAACTCTTCCTCATTTTCTCTCCCCCCCCCCCAAATAAGCTGACCCTAATAGATGTGCATCATATTGTTATCACTAATGTTCTATACATGCTCCTCTTCCTGTCACCTGGCATGACATTGCACAGGGAAACTCACCTGTAAGAGCAGTGGCACTGAGAGAATATGCAGGGTTTGAGTGTAAAATGCAACAGGAGACCCCGAAGAAACATAAACACAAAAACGATGTATATGTCGAAGCATTAACTAACACTTGGCAGAATCCCAACCCCAAATGGTTTGGGTTTAGACAGCGTTTAAAAAGGCTTGCACCTTGCATCTTATCGCATTTGCTGCAGCTCTGAAGAGAGACACGGCCTTGCAACCTATTTCAATGCTTTTTGGTCCAATCGGTGCAAGTGTCTGTGGGGACGCTGCTGTGCGCAGTTGGCTGCCGCGTTTCGCCCGCAAAACATAGAGTCAATTCACTTTGCAGTATACGCTGTGAAGCGCTTTGAGGCGCCTCGAAGGCGTGATAAGGCGCTATATCAAATGCAAGGAATATTATTCTTATTACACACCGTCAAAATAATAATCCTTGCATTTGATACAGCGCCATATTCACTCTCAGCCACCCTCTCGTTAGATATTCCATCATGTTGGGATCTGGCTGAAGGGGTGGCAGAAGCCGATTCGATAACAACGTTTAAGAGGGAAGTAGATAATTGTTCGGGGAGGACTCTGGGGAGAGAGCGGGGGAGTGGGATTGATTTGTTTAGCTCTTTTCAAAAAAACGGCACAGACACGATAGGCCGAATGGCCTCGTTCTGTGCTGTACAGCTCTACGATTCTATGATAGGATACACTGCAACCGTCAGTCATTTTTGGTCCTCCTCTTGAGGTGTGGTGTAATGAGGAGGGTACGACGCAGCCGAAAAAAGATGTTCCTCGAATTAAGCTCTTAAAATGCAGAATTTATTCAAAAAATAATCTGAATTCACATAAGCATTGAGGTGTTTGATACAAATGTATGATTTACAATAAAACTTTTATACATATTCTGTCAGAACTGCTCATAGCATCCCTTGCACTATGCGTTAAGGAAACACAGCTAACACACCTCCACATCGGCCGTTAAAGGCGTGCGTACTATTTTGCCCGACAGCTGCTCTCTGACCAGTCGATTGGGAATCCGACGTCGGTAAGAATTCCTTTTTTTTAAGGGAAGAAAAGACCGCCTTCCGATCCCTCGACCGACTTCTGGCAAGGAGGCTGGATCAGGAGGAACGCAACCCTTTTGCGATCGTAAACCTTAAGTGGCCTCACCACGTCACCCGCTGCTCGTTCCAGTGAGCGAACGATGTCGTTAAGTTTTTTTGCTTTTCTCTCGATATAAAAGTCCGACTTTTCTTGCTTTTTTTTTGTAAAAGGCCCAAAAAACAGTGTCAAATCGCGCAACTTTTTTTTTCCGGGGGGGGGGGCGGGGGGGAAGGGGGGTGGGGCGGGGGTGGGATGTTTTTTTCTTTTTTTTATATATATATTAAAAAAAATGAATTCCGCTCGGGGATTCTGTGTGTAAAACCACTTTTTTTTTGTCAAAAAAATTCCCTCTTCTCACCGCCCTCCTCCTTTTTGTCACCTGCTGAAACGGGGGTGGGGGTGTGGGTGGGGTGGGGGGGTGGGGGGGGGGAGTTGGGGCCTGGGATGGGATAAGAGGGGGGAATAACAAAGGGATTGAAGCTTCTGGCATTAGTTAATCGCCAGCTCTGTGGTCACAACAGAAAGAAAGCCGTGCTAAAAATGGTGTAAACGTTACAGTACCTAGAAACCAGGATTGTAAAGAGAGTTTATCCATACATTTGGATAAATAGTCCGTTTCCTAGGAAACCATAAAAATCCTGTACCAAGCTGCGTACAGCCAAGCTAAAAAAGGAACAGTCGTAAATAGGTGGAGAGATATTGGGTAGAGATGCAAACACAATGTTTAACCTTGGTGAGAAGTGTACACATGATATTGTAAGGGTAAGTCTCTTTGAGGAAAAAAAAAACAACCTGGTCTGATCTGATGTGAATGCATCAGCTCATGCCACTTGCTGTCCCATCATCTTCTGTTCCCGCTGTCGGATGGCCGGGTCAGCGTTTTATCTCCGACGCGAGGGAGACGACCGCTTCGTGTTTTCCCATTTCCTCCAGGGCGGCAGCGAGGGAGCTCAGGTTCCCGTCCAGAAAGTTCTGGGCTTCCCACAGGTCCAGGATCACACCGGTGGGGCTGGATTTGGTGGCAAAGTAGTTCAGGTACCTAAAGCCACAGAAAGAGCAGCGAGATTACTACTACGGTTGATAACAATCCTTGCGTTTGATGCAGCGCCTTTTCACGTCTTCGAGATGTCTCAGAGCGCTTCACAGGAAAGTGAATCGACTGCATATTTTGCGGACGAAACGCGGCAGCCAATTGCGCACAGCAGCGTCCCCACAGACAGTCGTGGATTGAAGTGACCAAATTATTATTATTATTTTTTTGAACTCATTATTACACCCGGAAAGCGATCTGCCAATCGACTAACGACTGGGTTCTTAATTACTGAGTGTGGAGGAAGGAAACTTGCATAAGGTTTCGTCCTACCCGGGAATATGGTAACAGCTAACAATAGAAGAGAGAAAGCCAAGAGAGGGTTGGAATGGAGAAACAGAGGTTGGAGGCTCGAAGATAAGGGCCACCCATATGTTTTTTTTCTTGTATCTTGGCCAGGGGTTCAAAGGAGAAGGTGTAGTGTAAAAAAAATTGTTAAAGTCGCTAAGAATAGCAAAAATTGATGATGTGTTAGCAGGTTACTGCACGCACACCTCCACAGGCTTGGATAAGGTGTATTGTAACTCAAAATGACAGCAGGCATTGCTATCTCTGTTGTCCAAAGATGCACAGTTTCCTGTTGACTCTACTACATGGCCTCTTAACTGTGTTTAGTCCTCACTTTTAACTACATTTTTTCAGTTTTAACTGAAGTTTGCAGCACCATTATTCCAAATGATGTTTTTCAGACTCTGCCGTTACTTCCATTTAGACACACAACCCAATGCCATGAAGATTCAGGGCTTTCAAACAAAGTGTTTGGAACAAGTTGATCCTGGCATCTTAGGTAAACAAGATTTACGATCGAGGGACAAATGTGGTCGCGGCCAGGATTTGCTTCAGGATAAATACATTATTTGTTGAATGATATTTGCAATGGCAGCGCTTTCGCCTCTGAGAGGACGAGGACGAGGAAAACAGACATTTCCCCTAAATGTGTTCCTTTTATAGTTGCCGGTAATAGTCAAGGGAAGATTTATCGACTGGCTTTAAAATGCAGTTAAATTGTGCCTTTAAAGTGTGTTTTTAATGGCTCGCTTGGGAATCACTCCCCTCCCACCTCCCAACTTCTGGACAATCAATTCTTCCACAGGCGTTTCCATGTGTTTTTCTCTCAGTTTGTGAGGTTCCAAGGTCTTCGGTCCCTTTGCTTCGCAGGGTTAGCATTTTAACTTCGACAAATTTGAACTGCTCAATTCATTTTCAACTGGTTTCTGATGAAGACTCGGGAGGTTGGAAATAAAATCTTTCCTGACACTCGCTCACGAAAATATAACGCAATTTTCCCTGTGGAAGGCAGAAGACAAACTCTGCTCTGACCTTCAGCGAATGTTTAAGCTCCGCTTGTGGTTCTTATAATAACACAGAAGTCTCGCCCACTAGCCCTGTGGCTAGTGCCATCTCGTGGTCCTGCCTGGCCATAGCAGCGGCAAACATGATTCCAGCAATCAAGACAACATTGCTGCAAACAACTTGTCACATGTGAAAGCTGTAGGATAAATAAATACATTATTATCACCTAGTCATATTCCGGTGGTCCACAACGGCAGTGGATTCCACGCTGAGAGAATGAGAAGGAGGATGATGAACAGAGACACCAGAACCGTTTTTATTCACCCGTGCCAGAAAACACTGCCACGTTTTCATTTCAATGGGCAAAGAAATTCCTTCACACGTGCAACGAGCGCTCGCCCGTTCTTGTGGAACTCCGGATAGTATAATGACTTGAGGGAATTGTTTCTGAAAAGACTTAACAGTTTTCATCGAAATCAACGCCATCAACTGGTTATATTTTGGGGTCAGCCGGGTGCCTGACACCTCACCACGCTCGATCGAGAGCATCCAAACCAAACTGAGAATTCCATGCGACCCACATATATGTTGACACTCCCATGTTTTTTCGCACGGAACTCTCAGTTTGGTTTGGATAACCTTAAGGGCACGACGATGGGCTTCCACAGGCCAGGCAACCCGGCTGACCCGCAAAACGTTGGAATATGGAACGTGCGCTCTCCTCCTGGAGAATTGCATCCCGTCCACCTGATTGCGAGTGAGAGTATCAAGCGCAGGTTGGCAAGTTTCAAGGCTTGGGGATTCAAGAGTGTGTGACGGTGATACTGCTGGAGGCCAAAACCGCATAACTCGCCATTGATTTCGCTGTCTGGCAAGTCTTCTCGCTGCTTGTCCAGGTAGGACCGTCCAACTTGCTACAGCTTTTTGGCTTACAGGGTGAACTTTCCAATCCCCCCTGGAGTGCCTGCTTACCACCCCCCCCACCCCTCCTGTGGGTGGCTCATGTGAGGCATAAACAACATCATGGACTAGTTGGTCTGAGTGCCCTGTTTCCTCCTGTTGGTTCTATCCAGCTCTGTCTAGGTACTGAATACGCTGTTGCTTCGGGGGAGCGTGACATTTCAGTCTTGTTTTACACGGATACAGGTGACTCACTGACTCAGATGAACGATGACCTCGTCAGCTGTATTTTTCCCGCTGGTTGGGATGCTCAGCCTAAACAAGCGTGGAGAACGGGAAGAATGATCCGTGGCAGGCAAGCGAACTTCCAGCCACACTGCGTGGTTTTTTCGCGCACTCAGCGGTGGACTGACCGAGACTGGCTCACGAGGAAGTAAGGTCAGGTTGCGCAGACTTACCTGTCTAACTTTAGTTTATGCGCTAACAGCCTCCAGTCGTTCCCTCTATTGTTCGGGGCATCCAGGCTGTTGCAGATTTTCTGTCGGATGGAGAATGGGATTCTGAAAGCGTTGGGGCCCATCAAGGTGGTGACGCTGCTCGCTGGCTCCATCAGCAAGGCGTCCACGGGTCTGCGGTCCTGTGAGATGCAGAGGACAATCTTGTCAGGATGGAATATGCTGCCACACAAGAGCTGTGATGTCTCCCCTGGCTTTGTTATGGTAAGTGGACATAACCTTTTTGTTATTATTATTATTTTTATAGCGCCTTATCACGTCTTTGCGATGTCTCAAAGCGCTTCAGAAGCATACCCTGCGGGGGGAATTGACTGTATATTTTGTGGGCGAAACGCGGCAGCCAATTGCGCACAGCAGCGTCCCCACAAACGGGGGGGGCACTGCTGTTTATCCGGATTCCTGTAGCAGGTTCTGTACTTTTATCTGTGCCCGACTCCACTGGCTTCCAGTGCCCAGTGACTGGCTTTAAGATCCTTGTCCTGACCTTCATAGAATCATAGATATTTACAGCACAGAAGAAAGCCGTTCGGCTCATCGTGTCTATGCTGGCTCTTTTTAAAGCACTCTTTTCAGTCTCATTTATCTTCCCGTTCCCTACATAGTTTCACTCCTTACTCTCCCGTCCATAAACCTCCACTCATCGGGACTTTTGCCCACAAAATATACAGTCGATTCACTTTACAGTATGTCCTGTGAAGCGCTTTGAGACGCCTCGAAGACGTGATAAGGCGCAATATCAAATGCAAGGATTATTATTATTATTATTATTATATAACTATGCAATGCAACTAATCTGCCTTTTGTAAAACATTCTCTAAGGGAGTAAAGGAATGGGCGGACAGTTGTGTGGAGTATAAACACCGGCACGGACTGATGAGAGCTGAGCGGTCCGTTTCTGTGCTGCGCATTCTTTGCAAATATTCTTTGCAAAAGCAAGACTTGAAAATTGTAATTCGAACAAAAGGCAGAGGCAGGTGATTAGACCAGAGTGTCCTGTCGACGCAGTGTGTTCTTCCCGTGGCCACTAAATCCAACGATAGTAAACCCCTTTGCCTCTCATCCTCCCCTTTCTCAGAGCCTGGTTTGGTCCCACGCTCCGTGTTGCGTCACAGATAGTGGGGGGTGGGGGGTGGGGGTGGGGTGGGGGGGGGTAGGGTCAGGGAAAGTGCTGGAAGTCTCGTTGCACGACAAGGCAGGTCCTGGCAGGGTGTCACAAGCATCTGCAACCCCACCAAGTTAGGTTCACTCTACGGTCACAGTCAGCTTCGATATGCCTTTCGGAATAGGGCGAATCCTGGAACGTGTGTGTGTGTGTTTGCGTGTATGTTTGTGTGTGTGCATGTGTTTGTGTGTATTTGTGCGTGTGTGCGTGTGTGTGTTTGTGTGTGTGTGCGTGTGTGTATGTTTGTGTGTGTGCGTGTGTGTGTGTGTGTGTATGTGAAGAGCAATGCGTTAAGTGTTTGTGCTTCCCACTACAAACAAAAACAGATACACCGTGGCTCAAACTAACACCTTTTTAATGACAAAAAACCCCCTCATTCCCCCCCCCCACGCCCCCCACGCCCCCAACGCCCCCAACGCCCTCCCCGACTCTGAAGAGGATTTAATGTCTTTTCTATTTGTCGCCTCTTAATCTACCAGTGGCTTGGTTCGCTGTGGATGTAAGGGATGTCTGTCTGTGTGTCTGTGTGTCTGTCTGTGTGTCTGTCTGGCCTGGCAGTGTATCAAGGGCACTTTCACAAGATAAAAGCCTGAGTTGTGCAAATAATATTCGGTTCCAAAAAACGTCCGCTGTGACAGATCCACTAATTTCCTCAGGTACTAATTAGACCCTTTGGAGATTCGCTGACAAAAGGCCCCTTGAAGTGATCGGCGCTCGCTGCCCGTGACTGACAGATTCAGGGCACATCCCTATCGTCACCTCGCCCCGGCTCTGCCGAGCCGCGTCTCGTTTGCGAAGCTACTGGAGCTCGGAAAGGGCCGTTGCAGAGCCTGTTAAAGGGGTCGAGCCGGGCGGGGGTGGGGGGGGGGGGGGTTGGGGGGGTGTTTTGGTGGTTGTAATTCCTGTGGTCGTTCATTAACGCAGAGTTGGGCATTCGTTTAATTAACGAGGGGTAAAAAGCGCACGCTTTCACTGTGTGTCTGGCTGCCCGACCGGGGACCTTCGCGTCCGGCGAGCTTGTTTCGCAGGTGCTGGCCTTCGATTAAGAGCTCACGGCTGTTTCCTCGCGCTCGCACTCGAGAGGAGATACATAAACCACCCCCCTCCCGCCCCCCCCCCTTCAGTCAGCAAATCATACCATACACGATTCTTCTTATAATAATAATAACAATCCTCGCATTTGGTATAGCGCCTCATCACGTCTTCGAGACGTCTCCGAGCCCTTCACAGAACAAGTGAACTGACTGTATATTTTGTGGATGAAAGGCGGCAGCCAATTAGATATATACACATGTGTTATTATATACCTTTTGCAATGGTTGTCCTGGTTCATCGTTACGCATTTTTGCGCATTTAAAAGCATCAACTCACACACACACACAGGGATGAAGTGCACTGGTAAAACTTTCAACACTGCAGGGGTGGGTGGGTGGGGGGTGGGGGGGGCAAGACAACAACCCTAACATTAATGATCCTTCCGTTTGACACAGCGCCTACAGTGTGAAAAAAAAACCTCAAAGCGTTCTCCAGGGATTAGTGTCAAGTGAAGTGACTTGTGTTTTTGTGGTCGAATGTGACAGCCAATTTCTGCTCAGCAAAGTCCCACAACCAGGCGCTCACATGTGCCACTCAGACCCCGGCACCCACTCCAGTAACCTCGGGACCTCATTCTAGCACTCTTTTCCTCCTACAACCTCGTGCCCCCCTCCTTCTACCTCCTCTGCCTCCCCCGCCCCATAAGACTTTAAGGCCTCCGCTCCCTGAGCGAGCGACCTTGGCTCTAGGATTCCACCTCAGGTCGCAATCGGTTTTGCGCACGATCCCCTCTGCCTGTTACTACTCTGATCTACTTTGGACTTCTTCCCCGTCGATCGCGGACACAAACAAGTCGACAAACCTCAGACAAGGTGCACTGGATCTGAAAGATTTGTCCCTCGCCTTCGACCTGCCGCACGCACAGCTTACACACCAGCTCCGTGGTGAGCAGGCTGAAACGCTCCAGGGTGAAGGTACAGTGAAGGCTCCCCTGACAGCCACTCCATATGTGGTAAAACGGAATCTCCTGCACAGAAGTAAAGAGAGAAGCGTTAATCAACGCGGATTAACAAGCCGATTCCTCATCAAAGCCACTGTATTAGTTTGACCCGTTCACTGCAGTGAACTTTACTAACCTGTTCGTGAGCATTCATTTGATTTGATGAAACGTATAACTTTGACGTGAATTTTGATTGGAAGAATTTGTGTCGGTCCTTAATTCACCACAGGGTCACAAATTTAAATGGCTTTACACCTGCTTAACGCAGGAGTTAATAAGGTCAAATGTAGATCATGGAGACTGATCACAGGACATGTGGGATCTGGGATCACACTGGGATCAGGTATTGATGCTTTTTCCCGAGGTGACAAGAAATGATGGGCAACATTCTGTTATTGCGCTCAAAGGAAGCGACGTTACAGAAGGATTGATTCTGAGACCTAAGACCTCCAAATAATTGATGGGACTTTGTGACCCGATTAAATCTCCGTCATATGGTGTCGAGACTTATAGATCCAGCAATACAAGCCCATTTTGTGAGTTCCTGGAAGGCGAAAGCTTTGCTCTTGAAAGAGCCGCCACAGACACGATGGCTCATCTCTACAGTTCTCTATGGCTTCGTATTGGTTTCCACGTGTCACTAAAACAGGATGTTTCGAGTTTAGACGTTCAGAGGGCTCGATTCCCATGGTTCTACATCAGAAACCCATGACACAGCACAACAACAACAACAACTTGCATTGATATAGCGCCTTTCATAGCGCCCCGGAGGGCTTTATGACGCAGCAAATATAACATCAATACTTACTTCACCCAGGATCAAATAGAATTCTTACCTGGTACTTGGTCAGCAGTTTGCTTCTCCAGAGGGAATGAGGGATGTCATGGATGGACAAACGCAGGTTGTGGGTACTGTCCTTGAAGAGAAGGGTCTTTGGCTCGTCCACCAGCTGTCCTCCCAACTGCCTCTCCATCTCAATCACTTCCTACGGACAAAGTCGAGGACTTCGATCAAACCCGTTCAACAAGCGATCGGCAATATCGATGGTCTCCGCAGGACTCAGAATAAAAAATCACTATCGACGCTCGTTCATTAGGGCCACAGAGTGGGTGCTCATTCCTTTAAATTAGATATTAAATGGAGGCACTGGATGCCAGTTCTAAATGTTCAGATGGATGAGAAAGGTCCCATGGCAGGGACTTTGAAGAGCAGGGACTCCTCTTGGTGCCCAGACCACTCTTCTTTTCTCATTTAAATTCATCCAAAAAAAACAATGTCACACACCGATTAATCGTACATTAACAACAAATTGCCCTTATTATAATGCTTTCATGTTGGGAGGATGTCCCAAGGCGCTAGACTACTAAGGGTTTGAACCCGAGCAGGGGGTTGGAATCAAGAGGGGTGGAGGGCAAAGGGCGGGGGTGGCAAGATGACTGAAGGCACGATCAAAGAGGAAGATCTTGAGATGGGCCTTAGAGGAGGCAACAGAAGGGGTGAGGTGGAGGGACTTATGTTCCAGAGAGTTTTGGGGCAGAAAAGCTGAAGGCCCGACTGCTGATGGTCAGGCTGGAAGGGTGAGGGACATAGAGTAGGTCTGTGCTTGCCGAGAAGAGGGAGCGGGCAGATCGGTAAGGTTTTAATAGGTCACAAGAGTTTGGAGGAACAAGACCCATGGAGGGATTTAAAAGTGAGGAAAAGGATCTTAAACTCTAATCGTCTGGGGCACGGGGAGCCAGCGAAGCCGAACGAGGGCGGGGGAGATCAGCTCACGGAGGCTGTTGCAGGAGAGGACAGGAGCTCCAGAGTTCTGAGTAATCTTCAGCTTGTGGGAGGGAAGTGTTGGGAAGTCCAGCGAATAGGGAGTTTAACATTGTCAAGCCTGGGGGTTATGAAAGCATAGGTGAGGGTCTCGGTAGCTTGAGGGAAGAGATCGTGGCGGAGACGGGCATTATTGAGGAGGTGGGGGGGGGGTAGTGAGGAGGGATGGTCATGGCATGGGTGTGGGTGTACACAAATCTGTACATTGATTTTATGGCTGTTCGAAGGATGTTTCTGGTGCAAATAATTGCCTGGAAACAGAAGTCGCGGTGGTCCGAAGCAACGTATTATAGAAGCCCTTTGAGATATCAGACCGAAATCTCAGAAGCTTCACGTGAATAAAGTGACGTCGCCATTCTCCACGCCATTCATGTACTGTTTTCAGTGCCCTTTGTACTTTATTCACGTAAAGCCTTTTCTTGTAAAACATTCCTGTTCTGTGAAAGAGCTCCAGTGGGGTTATTGGCACCAATTACAGGTTCAATAGGTCATATCATCTACTTCTATGCTGATTCTCTAACTATTAGAATTCATAGACTATAACTCTATAAGACTATACCAGGTATAGGTGGAGAAACTTCATCCTGGTCCAGATTTACCTTATTTATATAGCATCTATTTATTTAAACGTAATACATCCATTCATCCATTCGTTTATTGATTTATTTATATCGAATTTGGCAAATTGTTGAACATGAACCATTTTTCTGCCGTTTCCCATGAAGAGAAACTTAACAGTGAACTGGCTAACGAAATTAAGTCCGCGTTTAAAATTGTTTCTCGACTCTTTGACACACCAAGAAAGTAGAGTGAATCGAGATCCAAGTGGAATGGTTACCGGGCTGTTCAGGCTATTAAAGGACACAAACGACCGTTAGGTTACGAGCAGTGAGCGACTAAAAGCAAGAGTGCTCGTGGGTTAAGCCGTAACACGTACCTTCAGGGTGTCCTGGGTGTCGTCCAGGCAGTAGACACGGATGCTGTAATCGAGGGACTCGCACAGAGCCGGGGCGAATATGGCCAGCTTCAGCCGCTTGGTAGCTGCCTTGTTGATGGATCGCCCGGCTAGACAGTAGGTGCCAAGCTGCTCAGTCAGAATGTGACAGGCTTGGGAATCCAGCTGGACGTAACAGGAGGAGCTGAGGGTCTCTGCTCCGATCACCACGGCATCCTGTGGGCGAAAACAACAGCGTAGAACACTTCAGGTCCTCTCAGAAGCCGTCGGTGGTGCTTGCTACCCTTACCCCTTCAGCGGCACAGGCCGTGAATCACTTCTAACGTTCTCTCCTCTCTGACTCACCAATAAGGCATTATTGGTGCCGGGTAACCTGTTCAGTGGCATTATCCTTGAATAATAATGATAGTAATAATAATAATCTTTGCATTTGACGTAGCGCCTTATCATGTCGTTGAGATGTCTCAAAGTGCTTCACAGAATATATTGTCAAGTGTGAAACCTGTATTAAGTATGGAAATGCCATGGATATCCGTTCAATCCTCCCCCCACTATCCCTCCGACTTCATGTGGTTTTGAATTATTGTTGAAGTGTGCGAGCGGAGGTCAAAACAATCATAGCAAAATGAATTATCAGTAATTATCGGATTCTTCACTGGCTTTGTGAGCTGGAGGGAGCTACCGGAGCTCTTGACGCAGTCTCTTTACGTGAAGTTTCCTCTTGTAGGAAATTTATGTGCTCCAGGTAATTCATCGCTCATTTGTATTCCTCACCACGATATTGTCACAGTTACTGATCAACACTAGTTGGACGTTGGAAGTGAAATGAAAGACATGCGTGCGTCAGCCTGGCTCAGTTGGTAGCACTCTCTCGCTTCTGAATCAGAAGGCTGTGGGTTCAAGCCCCAGGTCCAGACTTCGAACTCATATAGTCTGTGTGACACTCCAATGTAACGCACGGGGCACGAGACATTGCTTAGAGACCTTTAAACCGCCTGCCTGTTCGAACGGGCGATAAAGATCTCGTGCCGCTAAACGTGAGAAGGGAGTTTCTCCCGAACGTCCCGGCCATCAGCTCCCGCTACAAAATTGGGCGATCCACTCGACAGCTGTTTGTGGGATATTGGGCGACGCGGTGCGCAAGTCGGCTGACGCGTCCACCCACCCACAACAGCAACAACAACAAAACAAAATCGAATGACGTGCAAATTGCCGGAAATATTCAGGGAGCGTTCGGCTAACCAGCCCTGCACTCGCCAGCAGATGGCGGCACAGAGCAGAAATTCCCGGCGTCTCCCGAGGGTTGGGTTCCGTTTGCAGCTCCAGACCTGGAAGCATTGGGATCGGGACGTATCGTTTCCCTCAAAAGGCTAAATAAAATATGGTCGAAAAAAGGACCTCATTCGCACCGACAGCTCCGGGATTCCTTCACTTGTAATTGTTTCCTATTTCTGTTATTTCTGAACAGGTTTGCTTTGGTTACCGGGCAATTTATATTGGAGCCTCATTGAAACCCCGGTGATTGTGAGTCCAGAGTGAGGTACCGTAGCCTGTTTCGCTGTGAACGTTACAACAGAGAATTTATTTACAACAAACAATCCTTTCAACTTTCGCCCAACAACTATACAGTCAATTCACTTTACAGTATACTCCGTGAAGCGCTTTCAGATGGCAATAACGTGTAAGGTCAAATGCAAGGAATATTATTGTAATTTGTCCTATAAAGGGCGGGGGGGGGGAACGGGGGGGGGACATGGAGGGAGGGATTGAGGGAGGCAGGAAGGGGAGAGGGGGGGTGAAGGAGAGGGAGAGTGGAAAGAGGAGTGGGGACGAAGAGAGAGGGGGGAGTGGGAAGGGAGGGAGGGTGAATGGAGTAAGGAGGGTGGGAGGGTAGGGCAAGGGAGTGAGAGTGAGTCGGACAAACCAGGAAAATGTCAGCACTCACAGGGACTTTATTATCTGGAACCCAGAAGGTTGGCAGGGGACGGTGACAGACGGAGAGGGGCTGCTCAACCCGGACTTGGCAGCAAGATACTGAGGAGGAGGAGGAGGAGGAGGGGGAGGAGGAGGAGGAGAAAATGCCATTAAAGTTGTTTAAATATTAAGCATTTTAACAGCGTTCCACCGCATTCCAAGGAGGTTCGCACATCAATAATGTAGCTCGACCGCTCACCTCCCAGCTTCCCTGCCCAGACTGGCTCTTCAGCTGCATCAGCCAATCCTCTGAGTTGGGTTCCGCGCAGTGGTGGATGGTGAGGACGACAGGACGGGTCAACAGGGCGCCTGGAGGACCACAGCTGACCACCGGACTCAGCAGCGTCTGACTGCCCTCGAGCGACGGCCTAAGGGGTATCGCACACCACGGGTTAGACATTCCACACCAGTCTCACGGGTTCGCAAAACGTCAAACTTGATCCCGGATTCAGAACGGCAACGTTTTGTCTTTTGATGTCTCCGAGCAGTAATCCGCCTTGGGTTGGGTGTCCGCGGCAAAAGTGGGCTAAAAGGCTTCTTGCTTCAGGCGCAGTTTTTAAATCGACTCAAAAAGGGGTGAGCTTGTGCTCATAATCCTTACGTTCGGTACAGTGCCTCCCAGGTCAGGAGTTTGTCTCAAATACAGGATCTAGTGTAAGGTGTAATGACTGTGGGTTTGCCATTCAAAAGTGGATAGGTCTTTGTTAGATAAGGAGATCAAGGGATTTGGGGCAAAGGCTGGTAAATGGAGTTGAGATACACGTCGGACATGATTGAATAGAATGGCGGAACAGGTTCGAAGGGCTGAATGGCCTACTTCTGTTCCTATATTCCTAGATTTTGTAGGCAAATGCGACACAGCAATAGCCCACAAGCAAACAGCCATGAAATATGAATGGCCAATTGTCGCAAGGTCACCGGGAGAAACTCCCTTCTCTCTTTCGTTAGTGGCAGCCCGGCTCAGTTGATAGCACTCTTGCCTTTGCGTCCGAAGGGGATGAGTCGAAGGGATGAAGAACGATGCAATTGGAGGGATGAACCGAGGGGCGGAGGTGAGTGGTGGGGCAAGAGACAGGGGAGAGAGAGAGAGAGAGAGAGAGAAAGGAGAGGGGGAGGGAGAGAAGGGTAAGGGCAAAAGAGAAAGGGGTGGGGATGACAGGATTGAGTGAGGGAAAGGCTGACGTCGGGTTCTTACTTCTAGCAATTGAGTAGAGAAAAAAAGAAACAACATTCAACCAAGCTACGCAGAGCCGGGAGCTGGTGATGGAGACAGTGGAGTGGAATAAGGAAGCGCGAACTTGATGAGACACGTCTTGGGAGGCACCGGCAGGTATTGGAATGGAAAACCACTGCACCAGCAAACGCTGAGAGAGCTGGAGAAGGTCTTACTTTGATCGAGGCCTGAGAGAATTAAACGTGGATCTAGGGTAGGAAGGGAATAGCAGACCCGTGCGAAACCACGAGTTACATTGCATTCCCCCATCCATCTCATTTCGTGGGCGCTTCACTCCAGAGGTGTTTGGGAGGCCGTAAACCACGTGAGTAAAGCTCAGGTGCTATAAGGGATAATATGGGACCCGAGAGCTGAAAACTCAACGGTCTGATGCGTCTGACAGTGTAACTGCCTGAATGAAATGACTGGAGGAGCACGGATAAAAACATGGAACACGGAGCTGTGGAAGATTGTCATGAGCTGCTGTTTGGGCCCCAACTTGCGCTTACATAGCATCCATCACGCAGGGTAGCTTCTTGGAAGGCTTTAACAGCGGCTGAGATTGACATCGAGCAGGGGAGAGGAAGGGGAGGTGATGGCAGGCACGGTCGAAGAGGAAGGTCTTCAGGCGCGATCCGCAGATGGACAATGAGGGGGCAAGGTGGAGAGTTATTAAACTCCGAGGGAAGCAGAGGGCACTCTTCCGCAATCTTCCTCCTCTGCCCCCTCCTCCCCTTCCATTCGGGAAAGATCGGAATCACCTTGATCAGCGCAAAGCGGCACTGTGCTGACAACGCAACATTTCACGCGGTTTTTCCCCAGTGAGATATTTCAGGGTTTATCAATCTCAATTATAATCGCAGACCTAGACCCACAGGCAGGTGCCCTGTAACAGGGAAGTTTTCGGGGCTCATTAAACGAGTAAAACCCACGGCACAGATTTATCCAGCCGGAAACTCCACCAGTGGCCAATTAGCGTGGAGATGCATCTGGTCTTAGCAGATAGGCTTTACTGTGCGTTGGAACTCTTTATAACAATTATCTGTACAATTGGGGGATGTGCGTGGGGGCGAATGAGACAAAACTAAAGGCCGCTTCTTTGAACAGCATGAAAAAGTAACACGCATTTGCTTACGACAACAAATTACATTTGTTATAGCACCTTTCACATCGGGAGGATGTCCCGAGGCGCTGGACAGTCAAGGATTTGCACCTGAGTTGGGGATTGGGTTCAGGAGGCGTGGAGGGCAGGGAGGGTAGGGGTACGAGGGTGACCGAAGGCACGAACAAAGAGAAGGGTCTTGAGACGTGCCTTGAAGGAGGCAAGAGAAGGGGTAAGGCGAAGGGACTGTGGGATGGAGTTCCAGAGGGTGGGGGCAGAGAGGCTCAAGGCCCCATTACAAACCTAAGTCTGTCATCATGATGTTGTGGGAAGTCAACAAACACCAACAACTCAATCTCAGGTCCACAGTTACTTGTTGAACCTGGAGGTTTTAGCCTAACGACACTAAAGAAGTACACTGGGCAAGTCACTGCCATCTGTAGCACAACTGAGGCTTAGAGATCCGCGACACTGCCCTTGGAAAAAGTTGAAAGAGTCTCCTCAAAGTCTGAAAAGTTATAGGGGGAGATACTTGTTGATTGTCGGAGGTGTTGTCCTTTGAATGTGACGTTAAACTGAGGTGCCGTCTGCCTGTTCAGGTGGACGTTAAAGATCCCATGGCACTATTCGAAAAGAGAAGGGAGTTTCTCCCAGTGTCCTGGCCAGCAATCCCCCAAATAAAATTGCTCATGCACTTCATGGCTGTCTGTGGAACATTGTTGTAAAGAAATTGGTTGCCGCTCAGTCACTATACTACACTACACTACACTACACAGTACCCAATCAGGTATAAAAATATATAGTTCAGTCAGGAACAGATGCAGATCTGTCTGACTCTCAGCTGCCTGTTGCTCTCAGGAAATACGGTAACACTTGTTTCTTGACAGCCCAGTCGGGGCTTTGCTCTTTGTATAATCATTGACTGCGGAACTAACGTAAAGGGATCAACTGTTTAATGTCCAATTTGCGCGTGGGCTCATTTCATCGTTAATTAAATAACGCATACAAAGTCCCCTTACAACACGCAACACAGTGAAAAAGATGCATTTGCATTTCTTGACAAATCTTGAATAGGGTAGGCACTGCAACCAACAGACACAGGCACCAGCGCACGCGCGCACGCACACGCACACACAAACATCTCGAACACGGACAGGTAAATTTGTAAAACGCCTCCGGATAAACGAGCGCCGTTACCTCAGGTTCTCCTTCCGATGTACAGTCAGATACATCTCGTACACTCTGCCCTGGGGAATGGCTCCTGCTGGCACCAGTAAGCTTATTCCTAGGAACAATCACAGAAGAACGTTCTAAGCAAATCCAGCGTAGCGAAGGAGCTGAGGCTGACATCGGCACCGGATATCAACCATGTGATCATCAACCAGGGATGGGCAAAGGGAAGGGGTTGGGGGGGGGGGGGGTGTGGGGGGGAATTTTGATCTTATTTATTGTATTTCTTAACAGATTATTTAATAGTAAATGTGTAAATCTAGAAGACGTGAAAAGCACTATATAAATGCAAGGATTATTATTATTATTATTATTATTATCCTTGAATTTCTACGCGGGGGAATATTTTTTGTGAAGAAATACAATACGTACGTACGATCCCACTATCTTGAACTGACAGCGGTGCCTAAATCCCAACCCTAACCCTAACCCTGTTGCATGGTGCAATGATACAAAAGCCTAGCCTGAGACTCCAACACAGTTGGGTTGCATTGCCGTACGTGCTGTATTCGTCGGAGATAAGACGTTAAGCTGAGATCCAGTCTGCGTGTTTCTAGAAGAGAAGGGAGTTTCTCCCGGTGTCTTGGCCAACCGATCTCCCAGATAAAGCTAGGTCACTCGCTGTGTGGCTGTTTGTGGGATAAATGCTATCCGTGTGCCGATTGTCTGGTGCTTTATCACGGCAATCGAGTTGCGGTAGAGTGGAACCAATTTACCGGAGCTGTACGATCACGGGTAGGTAGATTTACCTAGATTTATAAAACCACAGGGAGATTTACCAGAGTTGGGCACTATAAGATGGCCGCCCAGGATGTTGAAACTCCCGAACGCACTGCAGGTTGGGTCCTTCTGCTCGACCACTCTTTGGTTCTTGAGGTTCTGGGTCTCACTGTCGAGCAGCGACTCGGTGTTGCGTGGGGAGAGTTTGGCCGCCAGGTCCACCGTCTCCTCTTGCGGCGTGATGCCGCAGGAAGAATTGTAGACCTTTATCTTAAGGTTGGGCAGCGGGTCGAGCAGCGGCGAGTTGGTCATCGGGATCTTGTCTGCGATGTCGTGCAATGCGTAGACCGGACCCCGGTACAAGGCGGCAGCAGCTGTGAGGTCAGGCTGGACTCCGAGCAGGTGAGAGTTATCTGGACGGAGAAACAATAAGACCATCATTTTATAAAGAGGCCTTCTCCACTCAAGCGGCACTTACTGCGCTTGTGGGAAAAGAGCATTTATCCCTTTGTGCCTGTCCCACCCTTTTATTAGATCGTAGCTCTTTTTGGCTCTAATCCCGTTTCCTGCCTTTTCTCCGTTGCCCCTAATTCCCTGCCTTCAAGAGTGTCTGTCGATCAACCCAAGAACTGACATTGATTCTGTGTGTATTGTTTCTCTGGCTTTCTTTCTAACCGTCTTCCCTTTCGTTCGAGCGCTCTGAGACGTGAGCTCGTGTGAAGGCCGCTAAGTAAATGCAAATTGTTGTTCATGTTAACCTTATGTTTCCATGTTCTTAATTCCCCTACTGGAGCGAAGAGCCCTTTTTTTTCTGCCTTTTTTTGATTGTGAATCCCCTTTAATATTTTAAACGTCTCGATCCTATCACGTGTAGCCAGGGATCTCTCCTTCACGTGAACGCAGTTTTCCATTTGTTACTAATTCCACACTGTAAATATTGGGCTCCAATTGGTAGGAATTCCTCCTGGGTCAATTCTAATGTGGCATGTTAGGTCTTCCAGAATTTATCAAATTGTTAAACACAGCCTCAGTTTTGAAGCTAATCTTCTGCTGGTTTCTTTAAAAACTATACAGAAAACCAGCATCAACGTTCAGACTGAATTCAACTTACTTGCCACATTCTTCAGGTTAAAATGTCACATAAACAGAGTAAATCGAGACCCAAATGGAACTTTGCTCCACAGTTGTCCTGTTGCCTCCCTCGATTCCAGGACCGCCGCTGTCCTGACGGATTGCCGATCGGTCACCAAGTCCTGGATGAGAGCTAGCGTTCTCCAGTTGAATGTTGACAAGACAGAGGCCTCTCCTACTTGGCTTGACAGCATCAATCTACATGGAAGTGCATTCCCCTTCACAAAACCAGTGTCTTGTTCTGTTCTCAACTGTCCTTTAAACCCCACGTCCATGCCTTGACCCATCCAGCTTCTCCCACAACTCTGCAATATTGCCCGCCAATCTACCCCATCGTTGTCCGGCTCAACTGGCTCCCTATGCCTCAGAAGATCGAGTTCAAGACCCTCATTCTCAATTTAAACACTCTCCACAATCTTGCCCCCCCCGACCTCTTCCCCCCCACCTCTCTGACCTTCATACTCCACACCCTGCCTGCCCCACTATTGGCAGTTGGGCCTTCAGCCCCTTCTGTCCCCACTTCCTAGAAATCCATCCTAGGAATCCTAAGAGTCCCTTTGCCTCTCCCTTTCCCTCATCTCCTTCAAGGTCTGTCTCATGACTTTCCCCTTTGACCACACTTTCAGACATCTTCCCACCCCCGCTTGCTCCCCACCCAGAATCCAACCACCAGCCCGGGCTGGTGCAAACCCTGGAAAGTCCAGCGCCTCAGGACATCCTCCCGACTTGCAAGACGCCCTATGAGTTCAATTTGCTGTTCTTGTTGTTGTGTTGAACTGGCAGCAATGCTTTCTTAAGGCACTTAAGGAAATCCACGTCAAAGGGAGAAAATACGCCAATGCCCCAGAATGATAGCATCCGCAGCACAGCTCAGCATGTAACGTGTGATTCTCTCAAACACAAGGAGATGTCAGAAGGCCACCTTATCAAACCGAACGCTACGAATAAAACCACGACCAACCAATCAACCAACCAATCCACCCACCCAACCACCCACCTTGCCTGGACGTCTTGATGCTCACGGGCTGGAAGCCCCCGTTGAGAGCTGCGGAGTCACGGATGTCGGAATTGAAGTCTCGGTGGTTCTTTCGGTAAACGAACATCACCACGACCATCAGGATGGCCAGGCAGACGATCACCGCCACCACCACGCCCACATAAAGAGCCACGTCATCTGACCCTGGCGCAGCTGCGGAGACAGGAAAGGGTCCTAAATTGGAACCACAAAAGCCGATGGGACCTCTGGACACCCCTACTTCTGAGAACTGGAGCGAAGGAAATGCATCGCGGCAGTTGCTCAATTGGTTGAACCCTGGACTTGGGACCAGCTATACTTTGTTCAAATATTATTCCTTACTTATTTTTTATATCAGTGGGTCTACTCCTTCCCTCCTCTCCAAGGGAAGGACGTAAAGTTTCCCTGGAGCTGAACTGCACTGTACTTGGGCCCCATTGTGTCCTCAGTCCTGACTGCGAACATTTATCAACGACAGATTCCTACGCTCCACCTCGCACTGGAATCCTATTTGCTGTATTTCTCAGCAAGAAATGTGCAATTATCGGATTTTCTGAAGCACCAAACGTGCGTGAGGTGAGTTTAAAATCAGATGCTCTGGAAATTAATACCGACAAGTTCCGTTAAAGAATTTGTTAAGAGATGCATCAAATCACACCACAATATTTCTTAATTACAAAGTGCAGGCAGTTATTTCGAGTGTGGAATATATTACCCATTAATTTTGATGCATAAAAATGTATCTGTTGGGGCATGAAATGTGATGATGCCTCAATGACAATAATAATAATAATCTTTGCATTTGGTATAGTGGCTTTTGCGTCAGGAAAACACCTCAAAGGACTTCACAGGATATACTGTAAAGTGTGGTGACTGTATGTTTTATAGGCACTGTTGCTCTTACCTCAAGCCTAAGCATCCCAGAATAATATTTTCCCCGTATAAATAGTCTGTGGGATTGCACCAATTTCCTCAGTCACAGAGGAATGATCTCCCATTCCCTTTTTACTGATGTCTCTGTCGCGTCCTTCAACTAACTCAGACAACAAGGCCCAAAACCCAACGTTTACAAACCATTTCGGCAGAACATTACGTTTGCTATGCTAGTTTAGCACTGGGGGGGGGGTTGGTTAGATTTTGGTGCGGTCTAAACGACGTGAGCGTTCTTTCGCGCAATTTACCAATTTTAAAATTCCACACCCGTCAAGCTCTCAGTTAAACCCTTCACAGATCCTTCAAATGGGAACCAAGGATCGGGTACAGAGTGCGTCCTGATAGGGGCATCATCTGGTGCAGTCCTGGACCTCACAGATTGGAATGTTCTACTCCCAGTCTACGCTGAGTTGAGTGCGTGTTGACTGCGCTAATCCCCGTGTCCGTATTGAACTCAATTAGTCTTAGGTTGATACTCCAACACAGTGCTGGGGTGGGTTGGGGGGGTGAGGGTTGCATCGTCAGAAGTGCCGTCCTTAGGACGAGACGTTAAAGTTGTGTCCAATCTGCAGGGTCAGGTGGAGTTAAAGATCTCATGACGCTGTTTGAACAGACAGACAGCGGTTCCGCTTTAAGGAGACGTTTGCCTCAGAATAATGTAAAAATAATAATAATTATCCTTGCATTTGATGCAGCGCCTTATCACGTCTTCGAGACGTCTCCAAGCGCTTCAGGGGATATTACTGTAAAGCGAATCGACTGTGTATTTTGTGGGTGAAACGCGGCAGCTAATTGCGCACAGCAGCGTCCCCCACAGACAGCCGTGGATTGAGTGACCCCCAATTATTAGTATGAAAGCTAGAACGAAGGCTGAGAGGTTCTACATCTTCACATGGTAGAAGGCTGTAAGACCCCTTCAGTGCTTATGAGACCTCTTACCGTGTGTCCTGTATCAACTAGTTGCAGGCAGTGAGGTGTCCTCTAAGCACTTACATTGCGAAACGAAGAAACCAAACTCAAAATAAAAATAAAGGCAAACTGAAAGGGTTATAATCTAGGGTGACCATGGTCTGTAAACCAAATCCGGGGACGTGTATATAAAACAATTTAACTCACCCACAACTGCTGATGGTGTGAGAGGGATCTTGTTGACGAATGGTACTTAACCTGTGTCCGGGGGCATGAGCGTTCTGCCTGCCCAGAAGGCTGATGGCTCTCGGCGCAGGTTAGCTGGCGTGTGGGATTAACGGCCGTGTGGCTGTGTTTCTCTGATGAGCGAACGTGTTTTAGAATTTTATTGATCCCGCTCAGTTTGTGGCTGAACTCAAGACGGGGCAAATTTGGTCCCAGGGACGCAATACCTCGTCCGGAGACTGTCCCTGGGAATCAGGACTTATGGTCACCCTATTATAATCCGCACATAAACTCCAAACAAAAAGGAAGAAAACAAAACTTACAGGAATATCCAAAGTCGCTGCGAGCTTTCTGTTCTGTGGAAATTTGATAAAATAAACCTTCAAGAAAACGAACACAAAAGAAAAAGAGGTTGGAAATAAAAGTTTAAAAAAAAAGGTTCATAAACAAAGAAGAAAAAATACCACCACTAGAAACGACAATAAGCTTCAAATGCAGGATTACCGATCTCCGCTGCAGCAGATTGCAGAGATACGGAGGCCGCTGATTGAATTTTAGTGTGTTCCATTAAGAAATAATGGCCAGACTGATTGTATTACAGCTTGAAATGCAACACCATCGCACTCCCAACACCAGGAGACAGCTCAGGCCCATTGTCATTTTATGGAGAACCTTAATGGATGGAGAGGCTATAAATGTTGATGCACATTATCATACGCAGAAGCTTTTTCAGGCCCCAAATGCAACCATATGCTCCACGTCCCTGAGTACATTTTGGAATAATCCTGGCAGATTCAATGTAATCACCACGCTTGACACTGGCCTGTACTTAGTGCTGAGGGCAGGCAGAAGGCTGATGGCTCTGGGCACAGGTTAAATGCCCGTCATCAACAAGAACCCTCTTGCATAGCTCCTGTGGGACTACTTCCCTTTTACGTTTAATGGCTATCTAATAGGATTTCGCAAAGAACGCAAGGTTTAATCCATTACGTGAAATTTCTGACAATTTGTACTCGAGAGAGAAAAAAAAATTAATCTTTTTTAATTCCTTCCGAAGCACGCGATGCAATTGCAACGCCGCTGTTAAAGGACCGCAGCTATTAAGAAAATATATTAGGAAGAGAGCTTCTGGTTCGGGTTGAGCGTGTCTGTTGGAAGAAAATAAGGCAAGAACGAAAGCCTCCCACGGGCTTCGAGGTAACCTGGGAGACAGATACCAGAGTTTAATGAGATTCCGTTTGGATCACGAGACAGAAATGCCGGAGTCTATAAATCGCTGGGAAACCTCCCTAAAGTCACGCTCGTAGCCAAAGCAGCATGCTCCACGCCGCTGCAGTGAATTCTACAATTATTATTACTGGGCTGAATTATAAATGGTCAGGCAGTGAGTCACGAAGCCCTGGTTCAATTGAGGATCTCCGGATCACTTCATATACCGTGAGGATCAAGCTCAGCTGGTATTGACGTCAGCGGAAATCAGACGCTCAATCGCTCTCAAGCTTATTGCCGACCTCTGGGAGCAGCCCGGGGAACGGTCCGCTTTTCCTATCGCCGTGAATGGTGCGAGCGTGGGTGCTGGGGCAGGAGGTGGGGGTTTACTGGGTCATACGGTCCAGGTCACATTGTGTTGCTAGCTGTTTGGCCGATTAACATGAGGCAATCACTAGTGCATCTACAACAACAACAACAACTACTTACATTTATACCACGCGCTCCACAGGGGGAACACTTAAGAGTGGCGGAGCTCGACACTGAGCCAGGCGGTGGCGGTGGAGTGGAGGGCAGGGATGTGTAGGAGGCCGGAGCCAGCTGAGCGCAGGCGGCAGGTAGTGGAGTGGGGGGGTGTAAGCAGGTCGGTCAGGGGCGTGAAGTGATTTGTACATATATGAGCGTGACAATCCTGAAATCGAACCGTTTCGCAGGTGGCAGCCAGGGAGCCTGGCAAGGAAATGGGGTGATGCCAGGGTGGAGTTTGGTGCAGGTGAAGATCTGGGCGGTGGAGTGTTGTATCAATTGGGTTTATGAATGACCGAGCTGGGGAGACCGGTGAGGAGGGCATCGGAAGAATCGAGGCGGGGGAGTGTGGGGTGACAAATGTGTGGGTAAGGGCACATCTTGGCTCGTCTCGGCACTTGCCGCTTGTTGTTCCAGAGCAGCCACCCCGACTGCCCTCCCTCATCCAAAGCCACACCTTCTTAATTCTCATCCTCTTCCTTTGGTAGGTATGGAGCAGAAATGGGTATGGAGCCTGCAAAGCCAGTGGAGGTTTCATTGTCTGCTCAGCTAACCCCGAGATGATTATTGAGATGATAGCATTATTGGCTCAGTGGGATAAATATCGGGCATTCTGATTTCTACTGCCTCCCAAGGCCTTCTCCCCACAGTCAAAAAATCTGCCGAAACTCATTGTTCAGACACAGGTACCACAGACACCAGTCGAGTTGTTCCACATTCAGTGGCCATCTCCAGCAGTGAGAAAAAAACAAACAGCTCAAAGAAAGTTTGCTTCTGCTCGTAGATCCTCTTGATTTATTTTCTCTCGGACCCCGTTCAACTCCAAGAGGACTGCACGTGAGGATAATTGAATACAGTTCGGCTTTAATGGAGCTGAACAGGTCCCAAAGTGATTTCCTTGGAAAAATTACATATTTCGTCCTTTTGTTTTCAAAGAACGCAAACGAAAATGTCTGGAGTGGCCCGATGACGTGAACGGCGCTAATATAAATGTAATGTTGTTGTTGTTGCAATGGTATGGAGTTTTACATGGCTCAGCTTGTAGGGCAGGCTGCAGGAATGGGATTTAATCTGCTTCTCACCCTCTCCTAACGCCAGCAATGAGGCAGCTGGTACGAGGTGACTTCATCGCGGTCTCCTTGGAACCAAACTGGCTCCGAGATGACAGGCTTGGCCAAGTGACATTGGAATCGAGTCACCACTGTGTGGCACTCTCGGTTTTCCAGTTCCTGAGCTTGGCAGGAAGTAAAGGGGCAGACTGGTCGCTGGGGGCTCGGATTCTTCTCACTCAGCTCCTGTTAACCCTGCAAACCAAAGCTCTGAAAGACAGGGTGGTCCTCGCTGGACAAGCAGCAAGAAAGCTTGCCAGACAGCACTCCCAATGGCAAGCTACGCGGTTTTATCCGGTTAGACTCCCTCAGTACCCCAACACACACTCTGGGGTTCCCAAGCCTTGGCTCTTACCAATCTGCGCCTAATACTCTCCAGAATTAGGTAAACAGAATGCATCCCTCCAGGGGGACAGTGTGCATTTCTTGCCAGACACAGAGAAATTTCCACGTGTAGGTGACACACATGTGTGGCTTGGCCTGATGCCGAGCCAGGGAGAGGGGGCAGGTTCACAGCAGAAGGTTTTCATGGCACGATCTGAAGACAGGCAAGGAGGAGGCAAGGCGGATGGATTGAAGCAGAGAGTTCTGGGTGTAGCGGCTGAAAGCACAGCCACCGATGGTGGAGCAGAAGGGCCGAGAGACGTGGAGAAAGCCGTACAACTGAGTAAAGGGGGTGGGTCCTGAAGTGAGATGTAAGCAGTTCGGGTAGAGGTAGGGAGGTGCTAGAGCGGGGCGGTGAATCCGTTTAGTCATTATTCATTAGTACATTTCATGTGCTCAAATCTCTGATTAGGTTTGCGTTTCATAAAATTATTTAGCATTCAATCTCTTCACAGCAGAGAACTTTTTCTCGGGACATCGGTACCTCTAGATTCCTGGTGGTGGCGTTAAAATCACAGTGGGGAATGGGTGCAAACGGTTTAGCAGCCCCACCATCAGGCATATACCAGTACTGGAGCTGTTTGTAAGGCGGTTGCTATCTCAACAAAAAAATAACCCTCGCATTTGATACAGCGCCTTTCGCGCCAGGAGGAGGAGGAGGAGGAGGACGTCACAGGATTTCACTGTAAAGCGTAGTGACTGTGCACTTTGTTGGGAAAGGCGGCCGCCCAATTCGCGCACAGAGGCACAAACGCAATCTCCCGCTGCGTGTGAACTGACAAGGTTGGACCAATTTGAACCCCTTACAGGAGCCGAAAGAAGTTCAGAACGCTCAGCACTTAGAAGGAGGATTCGCTTTTTTTTTTGAACTGAATTCAACTCCGCCACACAACATTTTGGTTACAGAAATGTGCAGTTTAGTAGCTATAAAAATCCAGGGACTCGCAGTAAACGAGATAACCTGAGGATTAAACGCTTGTCTCTGGCTGGCTTTCTGAATGGCACGGAGAGTTTATTCAGCAATTATTTTGCTGCTCCACACGGATTGGATGGTCACAGGTTTGTGTCGCGTTAGCTCATCTGAGTCGGACGCATTTGGAGGCAACGATGATAATCCTTGTCCCTAGGGATGTGTGTGGTGGGGGGGTGGGATTGAATCAGCTCGAGTCCCTGATTCTGACTGTTATTCAGAGACCCCTGATGGAAAGTGCGGGTGTCTAAACATTGGCCAGGGACAGAATCAGGCGTGGCTTTGAGGTTTTCCCATCCCCTCTGTTGTATGACCTGCTGCCATTCTTTCAATCTCCCTGCTCCCCCCCCCCACCCTCCCCCCGCCCTCCACACCCCACCCCCCCCCCCCACCCCGACCCCCAGCTCGGATCCGTAACTCTGTCCGTCCAGCGCCTTGGGACGTCCTCCCGACGTGGCGGCTGAAAGAACAGCTGCCGATGGTGGGGCGGAGAAGGTGGGTAGCAGAGCGGGGTGTTAGCAGGTTGGAGAGGTAGGAGGAGGTGCTCGGGAGTGAAGTGACTGGAAGTCATTCTGGAACAGGAGCTTTAAACAATCAGAGGTATCCATCCCCCAAATACACTGAACCTTTCCTCCGACACAACTTCCCACCGGCATACCCAGAGCATCTACCTCAAAAACCTTCGCACACCTGTTGCGATAAAAATTGCTTCACAGTAGATGCACGTTAAAATGCACACAAGCAGAGCACATATCCCAAAACATTGACTTTCGTTTCTACAAACACATTTCCCTCTCCCATCCCTAAGATCCCATCTTTCCCCTGGGATGTATGGTTCCCCAGATAAAAAATTAGGAAGGGGACCTGCTCTTTCAGTCTTGGCTAATGGGCACTTTGCAAATAGCCCATGGGATTGAGTAAACCAGTAAACAGCAGGCCAGGCACATTCTGAGTCTATTCACTGACTAATGTGGCGAAGGGGGAAAAAATCAGTCAGGAGTCTGTCTCCTACCACACTGGGGGGCAGGACTGGCCTGCTTTTCCTTTCTTATTCCGCGAAGTGTGAATATTTATGCTTTCCAGTGCCCGGAAAAAGGTTTGGGAGACCTTCATGTGAACTGCTTGTCAGCTCAGAATAAGTAAATAAATGACAGACAGTCTGCTAGTGTTCACCAGAATAGTCATACACAGTAAGTCACAGGAGGGTTCATTGCAATAATACATAACACCGAAATAAGATTGGAATAAAAAAAACCTTCAGGGCTCTACTCCTCCTTTAGAAACCGAAAAGGTCACACTGAAGAACCGTTTTTAGCTGGTGAACTCAAGTCGGATTTGCCCGTGTCCTCACTTACTTTGCATGCATAAGCCATCGGTGCAGTTTTTGGAGTTTAACACGGGTCCAGGGCAGTCCTTCCCGCCGTTTTTGGGGGCAGGAGCCGTGCATTCCCTCCTCCGCCAGTGCATGCATTCCGTCCCACACGTAGACCATTTGCTCCATGCCGTCCACCCACCATCAACTAAGGTTTGACAAGAGAACAGCATCAATAGACAGGTCAGGCAACAGCTGCACCAATCGCGGATGTAAAGCCTCCTGGAGCCCAGCACCACGGACGAACACACACACGCACACACACAGTCGCTCGCACACACGCGCACACAAACGAACACGCACACACACACACACACACTCACACACTGGAGGGAAGCCCCTTTTTTTTCTGCTGATAAAAGCTTTCATACCAGCTTTAGTTCCTATGCTTTAATGGAGATTAAAGAGCATTTAGGATTATTATAAAGCATTTAGGATTTAATGATGCTCGAATCTTGGAAATAAATTCTAATGTGCTGCGGATTAAAACGCAAAAAGTAAATTTTTCAACAGAAGCACCGAAAATAATAATAATCCTTGCGTTTGATACAGCGCCTTATCACTTCTTCGAGATGTCTCAAAGCTCTTCACAGAATATACTTTAAAGTGAATTGACTGTGCATTTTGTGGGCGGAAAACATCCCTACAGCGCTGATTAAAACTGAAATTCGGAACAGCTGAATTCCAGAGAGGGAGGGAAGTTTTAGCGCCATGACTCTGTGACTCAGTACCATGACGAAAAAAAAATCTAATTGAGTGTGTGTTCCTCAAAAAACTCTTTATGAGGGCGTAAATGTAAACAGGGCAAACTCCACATCGGAAAACAAGCCAGCCTTCAGGAGCCAGCGTAAATCAGGATTCAAACGAGAAAAGAGACCTGAAGCCTTTGCGGACCATAATAGGTTCAATGCAGAAGTTGAGATCTAATTTATGATATTCACAAACCAATTTTGTAAAGTTAAAAAAACTATACCAATTTTGGAGAGTAAAAACTATACCAACTTGTGTTTTCTTAAAATAGCATCCTAAGGAGATATTCTCTCTATCCTTGCTCTGTTTTCTTCCCTCACCTATCCGCACATATCTGACAGCAGCAGAGAAAGAGGAGGGCAGCGGAACAGAAGACTATCTGTTACAGTCATTCCCATTGGAATCCAGAGGATCTGTTATGGATCAAGCCAACTTGGGGATACCGAAAGGCGAATTTCACCGCCAACGTCGCATGAAAATAGGTCACAAATCTCAAGTTGTGATTAATGCAACAGCCGCAGTTTAGGGAGATTGCAGATTTCTTTTAAAAGCAGAGCCAAGCAAACACAACTGAGGTCAGGCAACATCTCTTCACACAGAGGGTTGTGATGATGTGGAATGCTCTGGCCCAGAAAACTGTGGAGGCGGAACCAATAGGGAGGCGTAAAAGTGAGAGAGACAGATACTTGGAGAGCAGAGGTATTAAGGGGTATGGTAAAAGGGTGAGACGTTAGGTTTAGAAGATCTGCTAAAACCTAACAAACTAATGGAACTGACTTAGTGGATTAAATGACCTCTTCCTGTTCCCGTTCATGATGTTCCTATGATTTCCCCAATACTACCTTAAAGAACCCTCTAGGTTTGAAACAGCTTTGTATGTAAGAACATTAGAAACTATGACAAGAAAAGGCCATTCAGCCCTCAAATTCATTCCTTCAGCAAACCAGATACAACCTGCTGTGCTCTACTCAAAAAGGAATCTATCATATTTCCAATCGCTAAAAATAGCCAGCTTTTCCTGACATCGCTCTAACGGGATTGTATATCATCAAGGCACTTTTGTTTGCAGCAAATAGCAGTAACAAATCCCCAACTCGTTTAATATCTTGAGGGAGGTGGTGAATCATGAGCGGAATAACCAAGATGAGAATCGGTGTGACATTTCTGCCTGACCCTCAAGGGAAGCTAGCAACGTTAATGGCTATCAACCCAAAGTTACAAACTACAATCTCCAACACTCAGCAGGTACAGTGTCACCTGCACCATCCAATCCAACATATTCCAAACAGTACAGCCTTCCAACTCGGTCACTTTCTCTCCTTTAATTTTGTTTCTCTATTGGTCCTTTCACGAACTCTGCTTTGAGCTCTTTTTCTTCCTTCGACTGAGCCACGGTTCCAGGGGAACCGGGCCTCTACTCTGGCTCCTTAACAAACGATCTATTATTTAGGAATGAGCCTTCGCAGTGAGTGTTATTCGTCTACTCAACACAGGGGCTTTGCAGCCAAGTGCTTAATATCTTGATATCTAGGGGCTCTGTGCACTTGACCAGGACAGCTGTTAGTTCTGACAAATCACTGACCCCAAACCTGACTGAATCTTCCCCAGAGGCTGTGTGAGGGCTCAGTGTAGCAGTGCTCACAGTACGGATTGATGGCTCACACGTTTGATTTCCTCAGTTCTCTTGATTCCGGCAGGATCACTGTAGGGAAACACTGCCGGGAGTCGAGGAAGCAAGGAAATCAGATCTCTAACTAACTTGTCCCCAGCAGTCAGGGCAATCGAATTTCACTAATAACAGTCCTAGCATTCCACATAGCGCCTATAACGTTGAAATGTCTCCAAGTGTTTCACGGGTAATTGGTGTCGAGGTCAGTGACTGTGCATTTGTACCCAAATCAATTCGTGCAGAGCGAGATCTAACAACAGCACGTGGCCAACTTATTTGGAGGATTTGATGGCTAGGATCCTGGGAGAGACTCTCATCATTAGTGGATAGCACCTCTGACAATGCAGCACACTGCCAGTATCGCCTGCTCTATAAGCTCAAGCCCCAACATGGGGCTTTACCATAATGTTTTGACCCTGAGGTGAGAATCCTGTCAACTGAGCCGTGTTATTGAACCAAAAACAATAATAAATTGGTCATTTTCAATCTACGACTGTTTGTGGGACAGTGGGACATTGCTGAGCGCAATTGGCTGCCGCGTTCACCCACAAATATGCAGTCAATTCACTTTATAATGTGTTGTGTGAAGCGCTTTGGGAAGTCCTCCCAACATGAAAAGCGCTATATCAAATGCAAGGATTATTATTATTATTATTGGGAGCTTCAGTGATGATGTCTGTAGCCTCAACTAAGGGTAGCATGTGGTCCAGGGACGCATAAATGCCTCCCCATCCCACCCTACATGTTTCCATATGCACCGTTGGAAAGAAAATCCAGTTGGAGTTAATGGATAGCTCCTTTGACAATGTCAGACACTAATGGGATATTCCCCCATTATAATTAGGCATCACCAAGGAGCTCTGTATAAGACCGACTGGAATTTCAACCCAGAAGTGCTCTGGTCACCTGTTTTTCCAATAAATTAGCAAAGCCTGGAAGTATGAAACATCCCCTTGAAGCAGATCTTTCTTTGAAAAGATCGAGTTCAAAATCCTCGTCCTCGCTTTCATAGCCCTCCACAGCCTTGCGTTGGCAGCTGGGCCTTCAGCCTCTCTGCACTCACCCTTTGGAACTCCATCGCACGCTCCCTTGACCTCCTCCCCTCCCTTGTCTCCTCCAATCCTCCAAGACCCATCTCAAGATACTCCTCTTCCACCGTGTCCTCAATTACCTTCCTACGACCACCCTCCCTGGCCTCCCCTGCGCCCCCCCCCCCTACTGATCTCAACTCCAAAATCTTGACTGTCCAGCGTCTTGGGACTTCCTCCCGATGTGAAAGACCCTATACAAATGTAATTTGTTGTTGTTTCAGTTTCGATTAAAAGATAGAAACACAATTCAGCACTAGAGTTAACTGCACCTCAGATCTCAATTATTTAGGACTTTGGGTTTTCTATTAAGCAAATAATTTTGTTACGTGAAATGATTTAAGCGCAAATCCATTGAGCTTGTCCCTTTAATCCCCTTGAGAAGCGAATAGCCTTAGCAATTTACGAAATTTACCTATTAGGCAAACACATATAATTCCTGTTAATTTCATTTTTTCTGGAGTGTTTTCTATTGGGGTCATGTTAGTTGCCCGTTCAAAGTTTAGCACAACAAATGGGCCTCCGACATGTGTGTTAAAATCACCGCCGCTAACCATTCTCAATAGGGAAGTCTGCAAAGCCAGCCTTGGAGCAACTGATCTGACCTCATTGCTTTCCACTACTGGTTGGCAGGATTATCTGCATTTTGATTTAAAAAAACAACGAATCTTACTACAGCAGTGGACACACGAGCTAGAGATCTAATACCAGGCTTGCAGTCATTCCCATAACTGGTGTGAGTCCACGATCTACATCACTTGGTTCACTCAATCTGCTAAATATTGAGCAGACCTTTGCATTCATCCTATTTGCTCCTTTCTATTGATTCTCAGCATTGTGTCTCAAACCCCAAACTCAGAAGATGAGCACCTACTGAATCAATGTGATATTTCCACGTGCTACACCAACCTTCCCTCAGGACTGTCTGAACTTGAGGGGATATTTGGTGCTATTTGTTTCGCTGGATTTGGCAGCAGTTCTGTGCTAAGTGCCTGCGCCCGCTTGGAACTGGGTTGATACTATCTAAATGAATGATGAGTGGACAAGGAGGCTGTGCTGATGATTAACGCAATGTCCTTTGGTCTCTGGAACCCAAGTCCAAAATGTCGGGATAAAAACCTTTTCTCACTCTGCTGACTGTCAGGACTAAAGTAAAATGATTTGGGAACAGTATCAGCCCAGTTCTCAGAGAGAAAGATCCCATAACATTAAATTGTCATGAACCATTCACGTAAAACAAAGCAGAGGCATGAAGTGGCAATGAGTGTACTATTCTATGGTTTATTGAACTACAAGATAGTTTTTAGGTCAAGAAGCTGGGAGAGAATGCTTCAAGAGGTTAAAGGATTTTTGCAATAAATCAAGTTAAATCCGGCTAACTGTTGAGATTTCTCATTTACCAGGACACATGGTGGTGCAGGCAATTCTCTGGACGCTCTGACCATCGCAAAAGGCTCCTCCATTGAGCGGTGCAGGATTGGTGCAAGTCCGTGTTCGTTTCTGGTAGCCTCTTCCACAGCGATTGTTGCAGACCGACCACTCGGTCCAAGTTGACCAGCCACCGTTAACTGGGTGGGGAGGGTGGGGGGGGGGGGGGGGGGGGAGAGGGAGAGGGAGAAACGTGAAGATAAGACATTCAGAATTAATTCAGGAAATGGATGATTTGGAACCAAATGAAAGCCCAATTCAGAGTCGCAATTTCTTTCGATGTTGCCTTACAGGAGCGTCCACACAGTTGACTCAACAACAGCACCGACAACTTGCATTTACCTAAAGCCCCCTCACTCACGGTGGCATCCCAGAGCACTTCTGCAGCGACTCGTGAAACCTTCGACCAGTACTGGACATCGACTTGCGGCAGCAAATCCCATGCCACAACTTGTTTTATTCATTTGAAAGAAAGTTGATCATTTTACAGTGTTAAGATTCACTGTGAATTGGACGGTTGGTCACTAGCTCAAGGTCAACCTGGGCTGATGAACCAACGTGTTTCTTCATTGCCTGGGAATACGCAGCCACACCAACAGGGAACACTAGCAGAGTTGTGAGAGGACTCTTGTTCTCGGCTGCACATTTTAACAGGTCGTCGTTGTCATATGAGTCAAACATTAAAGTCATTCTGGGTTGAGTGATCATTTTACCAAGGGTCCAAATGAGAGACGCTGAGACAGCACCACAATGATCGACTCACCAGCTGACTTAGAAAATAAACGGCACAAGTCAAAGAGAATTGTAATAGCCTCGGCTTTAGACAGTGCTCTGATGCAGTTTAAAGCATTTTTAAACATTCAATTCATGTCAGTTTTTAATCAAAACAAAGACGAGTGGAATAAACAGTCAGAGATGAGGTGCGGGAAGATAGGATGTCAATTTATCATTTTCAACAGGTTGAGAATCCAGATGGTTCCTGTCGTAATCCACGATACTTTTTGCGGTAAATTATCTTTCTGGGAGTGAAATGGTTGTGAGTGGAATTATCGGCTGTTATCGCTCTCTGGAACTCCATCTCAGAATCCTTGGGACTTGTTCCCTTCCTCACCTTGTTCAAGATCTACCTCAAGAACTATCTGTTTGACTGTACTTTCGGTCAGCTTTCTCCTCCTCAATGCCCCCTTGGCTCCCACGGCCAGCTCGGGTGCCAAACCAAGATTATTAAGTAGCTTCGTATATCTTCCGAATGTAAAATAACACTGTATAAATATAAATTTGTGTTGTATTGTACGGAGCAATGAAAGCATGGGAGCAATTACCTCGAGAGAAAATACAACAACAAATAACAAATTGCATTTATATAGAATCTTTCACATGGGAAGGACATCCCAAGGCACTGGAAAATGGAATGGAAGTGATTACCTTGAGAGTAATGAAGACAAAAGGAATGATTAGCCAGAGAATAATGAAGACATTGGACACAGTGAGTCTGTAATGTAAATTTCTATATGGAAGTGATTAATGATAATTCTTGCATTTGATATAGCACTAAAATTGTTGAAACATCTCAAAGTGCTTCACAGAGAATGGCTGTCAAGCGTAATGACTCATATTTGATTATCTGGAGTGGAAAGGATACCAGAAGGGATATTTTTAATGAAATAGTGATAAATGTTTGAGGTAATCTATCAAACAAAGTAACATAAGAAAAACCATTGGGGTTAAATGTGATTAAATGATATGATGGGAGACTTAAAGCCACAGAGAGATGAGGCTTTGATGCTTCAAGCTGCCTTTTGTCCTCCTAATTTTTTTTATTTATATATATATATTAATAATAATAATAATCCTTGCATGTGCTATGGCGCCTGATCACGTCCTCGAGACGTGTCAAAGGGCTTCACAGGATATACTGTAAAGTGAATCCACTGTGTATTTTGTGGGCGAAACCTAGAAAGCGATGAAAGCCTTGAGGATCTATCAGGCCTGGAAGTTAAATAGGTATTATATCACGCTACGCAACTTTATTTCACATACAATTCAATCAATTTCTCGGCCAGATAGTTATCTGATCCCTGCTTGGGTGTGCGGCCACAATCTGCCGGCGCAATCTCCCTGGATGGCAATAAGACACCAAGAGAATGGCTGCATGAAGAGCAACAGGGAGTTCAGAGTCAATTACACAGAGAGTAGTTGGTAACAAGGAATGATTTCACCCGGTGAAGTTAGAAGGAAATTGGCAATCGCATAGCTGCTTAGTGAGAAGCAGTTGATGGAAAAACATTAATTACGGTACAAGAAAAGAAAAAAAGATTCATTGAGCAGTTCAGCGAGTTTCATAAACTGCTTGAGAGGTTTTTGTTTTCATTTGGAGCCGCAGATTATTTTATTAGCACTTGCTCCCTCTTGCCCGTTAGTTTCTGAGTAGAAAATGGAGTCCTGTAGTGTATTGGTTAAAGCGCTCTCTTCACCAGCGAGAGGACCTGGGTTAGATTACCGGGCAGGGCAAAACGTTAGGCGAGTTTCCTCACTCCACAGGCCTCTGTAAGTAGGAACCTGGTTGTTAGTCGATTGGCGGATCACTTTTCTGGGGGTAATAATCCCTTCAAAAATAAAATTAAAAAAAGAATTGGGTCACTGCTTTGAGCGCTTTGGGACGTCTCGAAGATGTGATAAGGAATTATTATAATAATAATAATCCTTGCATTTGATACAGCGCCTTACCAGGTCTTCCGAGACGTCTCAAAGCACTTCACAGAATATACTGTAATATAAGAAATACAGCCAATTGCGCACAGCAGAGTCCCACAAAACAGTCGCGGATTGAGCGACAACATTATGATTATGATTTAAGCATTTCAATGCATCAACGTACAGCATAAGTGTCAGTCAGAATAAAGTCCTGCATCACAGCGTAATAAAGTGCTACGTCACTGTACGATAAAATGTCCCGGGCGTACAATAAAGCATCGGATTATAATTTTTTTTGCAACGAGAACATACAGTCAATTCACTCTACAGTGTGTTCCGCGATGAGCGCTTTGAGATGTCTCGAAGACGTGATAAGGCGCTGTGTTTATCCAATGCAAGGATTATTATTCTTCTTATGCGTCAAGGTGCTAGTTTACCCACCGATGCGCAGTCAGGTGTCAGCTTACCGTACACAATGACAGTGGCTGTAGTGCTTCTCCTCCTGGCCACTATGTTCTTGGCAATACACGTGTAGTTGGAGGTGTCGGAGAGGCGAGCCTGCTTGATAATCAGGTTGTGGTCTATGGTGATGTAGAAGTTACGGTCCTCCATTGGGTTGATCACGTCTTCATTTTTTAACCACTCCACCTTCGTCGGTTTTTAAAAAAAACACAAGAAAAGGGACACGATTCCCGCTGTGATTGCTCGTAAAAGGACTGGCTGGTTTGCGGCCGCCCGCAGGCGCAACTCGACTCGCCAGCGAACGTTCTCGGGCGCAACAGGTTTGGGTAAACGGGAATAAAAAAACGTCGACACCGGGAAGGTCCCGAGTTTGAGTGAAAGTCAGTGCTGAGTTATCTGATCTCAGGCTGTCATGATGGCCACGATTAGTCTCAGTTTCCCAGGCTGGGGAGAGGAAATAACCAGCTGGTTTATTGCCCCTGATCACTATCTGGTCAGCCCTGATTTAAGGTGTGATTGTACGTCAAGAACATAGCAACAACAATAACAACTTGCATTTACAGAGTGCCCCTCACGCAGGGTAATGTCCCAGGAGACTCGGTAGTGTTAGAGGTCTCATCCTTTGCGTGAGGTTTTAGACCAAGGCCCCTGTCTGACTGTTCAGGAGTCAAGATTCCTTGGCACAATTTGAAAAGAGAAGGGAGTTTTGCTTAGTGCCGGGAATCTGAAATAAAAACAGAAGTCGCTGGGAACACACAGCAGAGCAACGTCAGGCAGCAGCTGTGGAGGCGAAAGGTTATCGACCTGAAACGCTAACTCATTTCTCTCTCTCCATAGATGCTGCCTGATCTGCTGCGCGTTCCCAGCGACTTCTCTTTATAGTCCTCCAAGTGGTAAAATTGGTCACTCGCTCACTGGCTGTTTGCGGGTTATTGGTGCATCCGAGAGTATTTTTCTGGGTTTACTTTTTCAATCCCATTGAAAATTTCATACACCTCCACGAGGGCACCTCTGAGACATTTTCTTATAGTTGTATCGGGGACAGTAGGTTTGTTGAAACCTTTTATCATCTTCTTTATTGTCCGCAAGACACATTTAATTTGTTACTGCATCCTGCTTTCGTATATCCCGCTTAGTTCCATCCCTACTTTTAACTATGCTTTGATTTGTAATACATTGATTTTTTAAAAATAACTGTTGATTTTTAACGTATTAAAATAATAATATATTAAAATAATAAAAATAATACAGTTCAGCTCCAATGAGAAGCCCCCCACCTTTACCTCTCCCCCCACCCACCACCCCCACCCACCTCCAGGACGACAGTCGCTAGTTGGTCTTTTGGCTTCCGACAAGCCTGCGTTTGAGCCCTCACCGGGTGGATGATGGGTACCAGGAACTCCCTACGAGTTTCCTGGTGAACAACGCAGCTCAACACATCCTATTGCCTCATAGCTTGACTCAAGTTAGTTACCGTTGACAGTGTTGGATGCTGTTTATTCCAAACCGCCTGACATTTACGCAAGCCTCATGCCTCTCTCCTCTCGACGGTTTGTCTCTATTATCCCCAACGGAGTTACCTTCTCTACAACGCTCTTGCCCAGGCCTGAGGTTCCCGGCTCTTTAATTGGCATGTAATAGCATCACCGAGTTAAATAATTACTGGCTTGATCAAACCACTCGAATCTTTTGTTTATTTACGTAATGATTCCGGTCTCGTGCTCGTTCAAAAGAATCAGACAACCATAAGCCCTTGAAGGCACGGCCCATTGCAGGTTACTTAGATTGGTTTTTGGAGGGGAGGGGGATGGGGGTCAGTGTTTGGTTTATTTTTTTCACACTGACAATTGCACTTTCACCCTGACTGTTTGAAGACGTGTGGCAATTTCCTTCAGTTAATTCGGACAAATGTGCCGCTTATGTTAACACCTCTCAGAATTCCGATCAGCAGATAATTAGGCAAAACCCACCTGTCCCTCACCGGGGGAAAATGTGAGGAAAATAAGCCGTTGTTAGGTGGAATATTCTAGGAGGTTGGACATTCTGATGCATATCAGTTTGGTGTCCTGTCGCTCAGTGGTTAGAGCATTCGTCTCGCGAGCGAGAGGACCTGGGTTCGATTCCCGGGCAGGGGGCGAAACTTTGGGCAAGTTGCCTTACTCCACACACGCGCCGCTGTTTACCTGGCAGTAAGTAGGAACTCAGTCATTAACCGATTGGCGGATCACTTTTCCAAGGGCAATAATCCCTTCAAAACAATAAATAAATTTTTAAAAAATAATAATAATTAGGTCACACTCAAACTGATCGCGGGGACGCTGCCGCGCACACAAAATACACAGTCAAGTCATTTTGCAGTGTATTCCGTGAAGCGCTTTCAGATGTCTCGAAGACGTGATCAGGCGCTATGTCAAACGTAACGATTATTATTATTTTAAGTTGTGTGTTTGGAAACTCAACAATATAAGACGATAATGCGTGCAGTTAGCACATTGGCCAGTAAAGGGCTCTGGCGAGCCAGCCTGGCGCAGAAACATAGCTGGTTTGCAGTCTGCTCACAACTCTTTCCCTTCGAATCGGTGCAATTCTAAGCAATGCGTCTTAAATTTCCCTTTAAGAGTATTTTTGGTGGGGGGGGGGTGGGCACTAAATGAAATACTGCAAGAAAAATGTTTTTTTGTGCATGTTTTACTTTGACGATGCTGTGCTTTTTCTGTGCTATAAATTCCATGTAACGCACGCACAAATTTTTGGGGGCCATGTTTTACACAGAATTTACATCGCAGAGACAGACCCAACTAGTCTAAGCCAGTGTTTACGCTCCACGAGCCCACGTGCCTCTTTCCTAGCCTCCCGTGATATCACGCTTATACCCTCCTCCCTCGCGTTTGTATTGATTTTCCTCTTAGAAGCATCGATGGAGGTTATTTATGTTTAATTTTATTTACCGTATAATAATTTTGGTGAAATCTGTGAGCAATAATAACAATCATAATAAGCCCTCAGCACCTTCAGTGCCTTCGCATGATATAATGTAAAGTGGGGTGATTTGCTGGACAAGAAACAAGGACAAGCTCTTCTCTTTCACTTAAGGCCATGAGATTTGGTGCCGATCATTGCCAAAATGCCTCAAAGTGCTTCACAGGGTTTAAAGTGCAGTGACTGTATACTTTGTAGTTGAACTCAGCAGCCAAATTGCGCACAGCAATGTCCCATGAACAGCCGTGAAGTGAACCAATTCCAGATATAGAATGTATCTCGACTAGTCATGCGGTACGATATCTCGGTGAGTGAAGCTGTCCATAACTCGCTCTCCCGGGTTATCATAAATGACCATATGTGCTTTGTCGTATTCCTGACAATCTGTGCTGAAAGGCAGATGGATTTCAGAGCCTCGCAATGCCATCGCGCTCAGTTGTAATTGAAACTTAGCATTGTAAACGTGCATGCCCCTAGTTTTGTAGCAGCACTAAGATTCCCTTGTACATGAGGAGCTTGGGCACTTCATATTGGTGCTCGTGCTCAATACATACAAGGCTGTATTTATTGATCCCAGGAAGTAAAACAAAGCTGAACATCACTCCTATTTGAATTATACAATGTACATGGGCTAATATCAATCAGCAACTACCAGCTCTACAAGCAAATGGCTCACTTTTATCCTCCTGTAAGTCCTCGTGTGGCTTAGAAGGCTCCATGTACTGTATTCTGAATGATAAACCAGTATTTGGGAGCCACAGTTTTCAACCTACAAGTAAAGGGATGCCCAGAATGTAACGGGGTCTGTCAGAAAACACCGCAATCCTCTCTAAAAAAAATCAAGTGCTAGAATCAAAGGGTGGCTGCCACGGAACACAACACTAACGTTTATCTGTATAAGTTGTTCACAGCATTTTGTTTCATAATTTTAGTTGATTAGTACGTTTTCAGTGATGTTGCACTTAACCTCTGAGTTAAGGTAGTTTACTATTTAGTTAGCTCAGAGGAACAGACTCGGAGAGAGAAAGAATTTTACAGAGAGAGAGAGAGAGAGAGAGAAAGAGGAAAGCTCTGGAAGAGTGTGGCGCTATAAAGACAGAATAACTCCAGATTTTCTGATAGAAGAAGTGTTTCGTTAGCAATGCAGCCACCTTGTATTTTGCATGATGACCTGATAACCAGGTAATTTGAATATCCACAATGAGATTTGTCCGAATTAGTGGGATATACAGCTCTTTATTGTAGATCCTACCCTCCTCCCTCCACCACCCCCCCAAACACCACACCCTCCCACACACACACACACACAAAATTGTGTTTGGCAAAACCCTTTGTTTAAAGAGAATTTGGACTACCTCAGTCGGTCTATTGCTCTTTGAATTATGTTGCACTTAAAGTTCTGCTTTCTCGCTGTTTCGGGGTTGGTTAAGCTAATGCATAGCATTTCAAGATTGATGATACAGGACCTTCCAATCTCGGTGGCACTCGGCCCAAGTGGCCAACAAAGCAAATCAAACAACGGACGGGATCCTGAACCACGGAGTATTCTACTGTGGAGTTGAAAAGCGTTGAGATGTGAAAAGCGCAGCGTAAGTGGAGCAATGGCCAGAAAAGGGGAGTTGACTGGAGGCACAATTGAAGAAGAAGGTGCGAGTTGAAGATGGGCATTGAAAGGTCAAGGCAGAGAGGGTGAAGAAGGTAGTTCCAGAGATTTACCCTATATTTACCCTATATTTTCAAGGCCAAGAGATGATTCTTGGCCTCTGGGCTCCAAACTATGAAGCGAGATTTGCAGAAGAACTGAAATTGTTTTTTTTCCATGTGCTGTAAAAAATCGAGAGTCGCGTGAAACAACTCTTTAAAATGATGAGAAAATTGGACAAGCGGACAATTTGACTTGTACCTTGCGGGCAAGGATTTGAAACTGGTAAGACTTGAACGCACTCAGAGGAGGTCACCAGATCACAAGAGAGATTTGGATGAAAAAGGTCTTGTGGCTCATTCGATCTCACCCTTTCAGAATGCTCACTACACTAAATATTTCACTGCTTCTTAAATATTTCACTTCTCCTAGGGTAAAAATCCCTTCAAAAAATAATAAATGATGATAATAATTTGGTCGCTCAATCCACGACTGTTTGTGGGACACTACTGTGCGCAATTGGCTGCCGCGTTTCGCCCACAAAACATACAGTCAATTCACCTTA